GCACAGACTCACTTTCGCGTTTAATATTAGAGTAGATAGCAAATAGTTTGAGGTGACCTAGGTATTTTTGCTTATTTACATAATCGAGTTGATATGCTCAGAGTGTTTTGTTTACATCCAAGTCCGTCTAGAATAACGTTTTTTTGAAAGAAATGGTTTTTTGAAAGTGTTGATCATTGGTGTCAACTAAGGAACTCTGTTGGGGGCTTAGTGTGAGTTACATCAAACGTAATCGATATCAACTGCGTAAAAAATAACGTTAAATGTATGACAGATTGTACAGCGCCCCTAGCGGATACTTTCAAGAACTAAAATGCTCATAGATTTTTTGACGCAGTCGATATCGAATACGTCATGTAAACTCATACTAAGCCCCTAGTTCTTCAGTCTTCAAATCTGTTTACATATTACTGACCAGCCTTGAGTTTAGAATATTATTATGATTATTCTAGAGCTTTCCTCCCATCCGTACAATCGTGCGGAGTCGAAGGTATGGACGTGTGCCCAAATTTTTTTACATCCAACATAACAGTTCTATTTATTTTCCGACCCTGAGAGTGATAGTTAAGGTTGATAGTGAAGAAACGGTTAACAATTAACTATATTTAGCCTGTGGGTTAAGGTTAAAATTAGTTAATGCTGCCCAATCAGGAGTATTTAATCTGGATGTAACATCAATAATTGTAATTCAACTAATCAATAATTGCGCGATGCAATGATGGGTTGATGTAACTATTTCAATTAAAAATCACTTTATCTCGCTATAATTTTGTAAGATAATCAAGTTTTAATAATACGAAATCTGCCACATCAACCAAAACCCAATTAAATCTGCCTCAAAGGACCAAAAACGGGTACGAAGGAACATTTTCGAAAACTCAGTAAATTGATTTCAACCAATTCACAAATATGGCATCAGCTTTCTTATGTGCCAATAATTGCATCAGTCGTTATCTGAAACCTAAATTCAAGTACGGAAGTTAGTCATTGACGTCGTGTTGATGATTCAACAGGTAAGAGAAATGAATCATCTGTAACGGGATACCAATCCTATAGCCTTTTATGGTGTTATGAATTAATGTAATAATTATCTCCGATTCGTTTATATGTCCATCCTTTTAGTAAAAAAAGGTAGTTTTTAGTTTTAAAATCTTAACTTTTTGGCTTTACGCAATGAGTGTCGATTGTTTCAGAAAGTTTTAAACGGTCAAAACAGAATATTATCTGCCTTATCTTGGTAGTATAAGTTTCACATCACAATGTAATTTATAACGGCCTATAAACAATATGGCGTCCAATCTACTCGTTCCTATTTCGAACGTCTATTTCGGTTTTATTGGCGCGAAAGTGGAACGGAGACGCTAATACAATATGGCCGATTTAGGCCATAAATTCACTGGAGTTATTGACCAGTTTTATTCCTTCCTACTCCCTAGCTATGTAGTGAATTTTATTTATATGCTGAATTAGATAGACTGTTTCAATATACAGACAACAGCAGCGAACGCACAGCGTTGAATAGATAGCTCTGTGATTGATTCGTGTGTCACCCTGTGAGTCCACGTGCACTGTGATACCTCATAGTAATGTTTGTGAATACGGGCGTTTATGGGTAAAATGAGTGACTGGACAATTTGATGACGATTTACATGCGTAATAGCAGGAATATCTAAATAATTTTACCAGGATAATTTGATAGCTATTTGCAACATAGTAGCAGGAACATCCAACTAATTTTACCAGGATAATTTGATAGCTATTTGCAACAATATACGCACAAGACGTAGCGTGGGCAGGCCTCCTACTAGGTGGACCGACGATCTCGTAAAGGTCGCGGGAAGAGCCTGGATGCGGGCAGCGCAGGACCGTGCATTGTGGAAAACCTTGGAGGAGGCCTTTGTCCAGCAGTGGACGTCATTTGGCTGAAACGAACGAAAGAACGAACCACAACCTGCTTTACTTCAAGCCATCTGTGAATTCAATTGGGGGCAGATAAAAAACCTTGCCGCACCGAATACCGATTGAGGCCCAAACTCGAGTTTAATTTAAAAATAGCGATGACGTGACCTTGGCCAACTTTGCGACGCTTAACGAAACCAATAACGTATTTTGATAACAAATTCGCGGCCCAAATATCGGTTCGGAATACTGGAATTTACTGGAAAGTACCCACCGTTATATTCAAAACAAACGTTCTCTATCCGTGCTGCAACGATTCGAAGTGATGACGAAAGTCGTTGAATTTAAAAAAAAAAGTAAATTAGATAAATTAGATCCAGTTGAGTATTTCTACAGTGAAGAGGAAGACCTAAGGACTGATAATTATGATTTTTAATCTCGAAGAAATTTGCTTAGTTTAGGAATAGAAAGCGTAGTGTAAAATAATTATTTAAATACGCGTTAGAGAACTCGCTTAAGTATACTTTCGTAAGCGCCTCTGTCAAACAAGAACGTTTGCTAAATGGGAATAGCGGTAAAGGTATATCGGTCCGCAAGAAACAGTCAACAAAATTACCATAAACGACACAACACAACTGTGTCAAGCGCTATGACGTCACTAACCAAACTTTATTAGAATTTGAAATGTTAAACGATTTCCGTGAGTATTTTTGCTAAATCCAGGTCAGAGAAAATATGCAAGCCTAAATCGAGCCTAAACGTCAAATTCAGGAGTTTTAAAGAGAAGATTGATGTTGCCCTTAGGAACGTTGATATGACAGGTTAAATCAATAATTACATTCATTACTATGCACAACTCTTCCAAAAGAACGCTTTATTTTGTCCTAAAACAATTAGTCTTCAATCACCTCTAAATTAAGATTTTCTTTGATATCAGAAATAGTTATTAGTCAATTGAGTTGGAAAAATAATGACATCATCGATGTATACAAAATCTTCGTAAGAATGACGTTCGAAAAGCTCATTAAATGTGCGTCAATCGATTTGTGGTGTCAAGTTCAACTGTTTTTATCATATTCTGGTATAAAATAATGCCTTATTAGCGAAAGATCTAATTACTAATTAGGTACACGTTACCCATGTGAAGCCTGGTTGCTAGCTCATAAAATCTAACGGGATCATCCCAACTTCTAGTTCCCACCACTGCAACTCCTGTATAACCAGGATCTACAGCTTGATCGCCGTTATGAATTCAACCAGTTAAGATCAAGTCTGTCCCGGAGGAAAGTTAAACTGTCATTGGACCCGCAACGAAATTAATGAGAAGAACATAGGAGGATTTGAAGTTACGTTCGATTTCTCGGTATATGAAAACAATGGAATCTACTAAATTGGTATATGTGAAAACCAAAACACAGACAGTTAACATTTTGACATTTACAAAAGTAATGAAGAAAATATTTGGAGTTTTTGAAGTATTCTTAAAGCTACGGAAACAATATAATCCATCTAAATACCTAGTAATAAAAATCAATATAACCCAGGCTATAATTATTTTTGTGTTAGGCAAATTGAAGTCGCACTCGAAAAGTCTTTCTAACAAGTAAATTTAACGTAACCGTTCATTTATATCCCACAAGTTTCATCACTGTAAACAAGCGCTACAATGATGTCTGACATAATAGCAACGCTTGCCAAATTGAGGTTGCTACTCCCATCAACAGTTATGTGTGAAAACTGTTTCGGCTGGTAGCATTGTGCTGATTTTATGAAGTTAGCAATGAACTCCTATGTTCTTCTGATTAATTTCGTTGCGGGTCCAATGACAGTTTAACTTTCCCCGGGACAAACTTACCTTTACTGGTTGGGTTTTTATGGTCAAGTTTTAGATCCTGGCTACACAGGAGTTGCAGCGGTGGGGTAACGAGTGATGGGAGTTTTATAAACCATGAACCACCATTATAAATTGCTGGGCAAACATACGAGACACTGGCTGTGAAAACCGTATATCTTCCGAAATTTCTTCTTTCTAATTAAATAGAATACAAAAGCATAATTGGCTAATAAATGCGTTATTTTTAGAAAGCGTTCAATTGTCCGCCAAACGTGCGTTTCACAAGATGCGCGGACGCACCTAAACGGTTATTGTTTGGGCAACAAACTAATTGTGCAACTGCTTGATATTCAGATGTTCACACTGTGTAGTAAGGCAACTAAGGAACGAATTTGAAGTGGCGACGATGTAATGCAATGTTACTAGTAGAAAAAAATAAGCAAGGTTTCAGATTAGGGACACTAGAGAGAATTTGCATAATCACGTAAGCAAAATTGCAGAAATACTGCAATCGTAGCAAAATTTCTCATGTTCTCAAAAATGCTGCATCAGCCATGCACAATATGCACATGCAGATATAAATATACTAGCTGTGACCGCGACTTCGTACGCGTGAAAATAGTTTGAATGATATTTCCGTTTCTACAACATTTTTCTTTACTGCTCCGCTTCTATTGGCTGTAGGGTGATGTCTAAAGTCTTCCTCGATAAATGGCCTAAATATTTTTTCAAATCGGATCAGTAGTTCCTGAGATTAGCGCGTTCAAGCAAACAAACTCTTCAGTTTTATAAAAGTAGTAAAGATTTTAACTACACAGCTTGATATGCACATAATTATGTACTATTATCATGTAAACCTTCCACTTTCTAATGTTTTGTTTGTTACTTAACTGGGTTCGACGCTCCGGTAATCGCTGCATTCATAATTATGTTGTTTTGACCAGCGTAATTGAATTTAGTTGATAACGGCAGTTAATTTGGTAAATAGATCGACCTGATCTAGATAGTGTAGAAGATAATAATTTATCGTCTGAGATAGCATTATTATTTTGCTCCTGCTGAATTCTATCTTCAAAAATTATAGTTATGCATTCAGAAGTTCAAGTAGTTCTCATAAATCTATTGAACTTTCATCTGAAAAACATCTGAATATTCATTTTATTGTTACATTTCCAATTTTCAGCCAAATATAGCCCATTGCTAGGCCTTTTTTAGAAGGGCTTGGTCTACCCATCTACTAAAAGAGCCACGAATGTTCTTTTTTTCTAAAAAAATGTGGTTAAGTTGTGCCTTAACCATATTATGTGTTCCATCCTTGTCAAGGGGAGTGCTAACAGTCCTTTCAGTAGACACCTGGAATATAGGACTCCCCTCAACATGCTATAATCGGTCCACTTCGATCACCTGGGTGATCAAATCCAGGTGATCAAAGTGAATAGACCCTTTCATCGGCAATTCTTCAATTCCTTCCCAATGCTTGCAATCTTCCCACAGACATGGACGCGGTTTTTTCCAAGAATTTGAAACTTTCCCACAATTCTTGGACTCGTATTTCCAGGAATGTCAAATTAGCTTAATCAGATACGGACTTAGCGATCCGTAAATGATTTTTTGCTCCTCGTGAGAACGGGCGTTGTTTAGCGCATGCGTGACTTTCACTAGTAAAACGCGGGTAGCGACGCGAGAATGCTTCAGATATCTGTTCTGACGTTGAGTGGAACGGTATTCATTTTACTGAAACTGAAACGGCGTCCACTTTGAAGGCAAAAAAGGTGGAGAAGTGGGCTTCCGTTATTATTATGTCGAGGAATAATACTTCTTACTCGTCGTACATAAGCATAAATTCTTATGCTATTCAGGCTTATGTAGAAAATGAGGACGCTCAAGCTAGGATCTCAATTTAAAAACCGTTGTGGGTGTTTCTCTGCTATTTGGAAATGTTCAAAAAGTGTTGAATGAAATGTTTAGTTACAACAATTGATATTTTAGACATTAGGCTGGACGCAGGCCGTTACCAACCGGGCAGCATGGAAAGCATTGGGGGAGGCCTATGTCCAGCAGTGGACGTCCTATGGCTGAGATGATGATGATGATATTTTAGATACTAGTTAGGTCTTGACTTCGCGATATCTAACGTAAACGTCTCGCGATAGAAGTGGTCCCTGCTGGTTTGGAAGTCAAATCCTAAGGAAGTCAGCAGATCGTCTAAAAAGATGTTTTGCACTTCAGGTTAACTCAATACTTAATCATTTGCTTTACCACATATTATAATAGAAAGACACGGGTCTTAGTGTCTTTCTATCTTAGTTGAAATGGAACGCGAAAGTTTAAAATAAGCGCACATTAGGTACACAATAAGGATCTATTTTAGACCCAATAACTTTAAAAAGAGTCCGAACAATCTTCAGAACTCTTACTATTTAAACCACTTTGAGTGGGTAGTTTTGAAAAATATCAAAGTGTCAGATTTAGAACAGATTATCATGTTTACGAACGTTATGCGCACGCGCCGCTCCAGTGGTCGATAATATGTATCGTTTACGTAAAAGGTCGATGACTTGTTGGTGTTCACGGCTGCCTCTGGCCTCGCGTGGTGAAGGTTCGAATCACGGTCGGGCCTATTTACAGTAGTGACCCCATTTTGAAGAATTATACTGAAAAAATATTTCTGGATGTTTTCGTGTTGGATAGCCCATTAATCGAGGAAGGCTTTAGGCTATACAGTCTAATTTTTTAGAAATCAGCAGAAATGTCATCAAACATGGCCAACTGACATAAAAAAATTTTTAGTCTGTGAACTAGTGATGCGACAAAACCTCTCGTTAATCGCGAAGTGAAATTATTTTAATACTTGCGTATCATCGCCGGGTGATCGTCAAAATACTAAAAATTGCAACAAAGTCGCAACATTGAATGATGATGAACTGATAATGAAATTTTCGAGAACAGGAAACAAACTGTGAGATGAGATGATGTAATCAAAAAACACACTGGACAGTAAAACAATCAATGATATCCGTAAAGTTATTAAACTTCAAATAGTTGCAAAAAGTTCTGTTTGACAGTGTTGCTACTAGTGACATCTCGCTCGCTCAGTTCTTTGTTGCTCTATTCCGCTAGGGAGGTAATTTAAGATGCTATCAATTGAAAGAAGATTTTAATTTTCTTTTATTTTATTTACATAAATAGGAAAATAAGCAATCGAACAATACGTAAGCATAATTGCATAAAAAAGTAAAATAATTTCGTTTAAATAAAACCGACTAAAAATTAAACTGACTCCGAAAAAGTATACAGTAAAAGTAGAAAAATNGCAGCTGGCCGGATATCCGGTATCCGGTATCCGGCCAAACAACTATCCGTTTCATCTCTAATTATTATGCAATTACGTCATAGGGAATCGTCTTGATTAAAGCAGGTACCTTGGTATGGCGCCGATATAAAATTTAAAAGCTAGAAACATTGTGTTGAAGCTAATTTAAGATTAGACGTCTTCTTTTAATATAGCCGTAATTTTGATATTTTGTTTATTCAGTTCAAATTACCTTAACAAGCTCTATTAAAACACTTGTTAAAAGTGCCTCTTCCTAGTTATTACGTTATTACATAACCCTCTATACCAATCAAAAGTTTTTTCCCCATTAATATAATAATAAATAATATTACTTAATTAACTTTCTCTAGTTCGCTGAATTTTCTGCATATTCATATTACGATGAATGAATAAATTGGTTTTGAAATGAAACCGTTTATGAGGTAGCTAATTAAGAATTTTCTATTCAATTACTGGATAGCAGTTATAATAACTTTATTTTAGTGCCACTTACCTACAAGATTTCAGATAAAGTTAGTAACTTAATTAAAAGAACCTACTTACGTTCCAACTTCCAATATCAGATGTTTAGTTTGATTAAGAAAATTATATCACATTAATTTCCTTTGCAACTACCATTATTTCCCTGTCCGGAACAGGCAGGCAATAAAAAAATCATACATAATCTGTACAGAGCTTCCCGCCAATTTTATTAGTTTTGAAACTTTTTTACGGTGCAAAGAAAACAAATGAAAATTAACAAAAGAAGGAAAAAGACCAACCTGCAGCTTCTCAAATCCAAAGTTATCCAGTTTCATGATTGATTCGTCACACATGCCAATCAAATTAATCGAGCATAATCAATTGCTAATTAATCACCGGCACTAATTTGCAATTCGTAGCCACTTTTACGTTTTACACACACGATACACAATCATGTTGATCACTACACAGCAAAGAAGACACAAAGTAGAACTAGATTAGGTACTAGAAACTTTTTTTTCGATCGCAGAGATTAACTTTTTAATTTATTTTTAAACGACTGACGAAGGCGTCCGCCCAAGCAGCCAGTCCCACGTCTTATGATGAGCTTATTTAAAATTCCAAATTCGGAGGCTCTAGGTATATCCCACCGAATTGAAATTACCTAAAGACGTGTTAATTTCTAAGGCGTACGGTGGGTTCTCACCGCGTCCGTTTAAACGTCGTTGTAGAAGTATGGCACGGTAAGCAATGCTATACGTTTGTTTACTGAGAAGTTAGCGGTGGCGTGCCGTGTAACCGATCCAATGAAAGTATCGACCAAACATGTGAGGAGTAAGCAAATTAGCTACCGTGATCTGGTCCTACTTTGCTCCTACAGGATTTAATTAGAAATGCTCTAATTGCGTTAGCAACAATGCTTTATTTTAGATTGAACAAGAACTAGAAGATATTTTGAAGCATCCATTAAGTTCTAATTTCAGAAATTACTACAGAATTCACTCATACCAGAAAGAATAGTTAAGATTGAACAAAAATGATACTTAGTCTTAACCTACTCACATTTTCGAAAAAATATGGTATTAAATATCGACCAAATAAAGGTGGCGTACCTAGACTCACATTACAGAAAAAGCACCAAATGTTGAAAATAGAGAGACAAGGATAGCGCGGTAGGTAGTTAAAGGAATACAATATCCAAACATACAATAACAAGGTTGCAGGTTCGATTTCCGATACCGTACAACACAACCATAGTCCATAGATCTCAAAAGGGTAGGAATAAAATTGCGTGTCACAGGATGATACCTACTCGTATCGTAACCTGCGTAACTGGTACAGTAGTTGAGTAGTCAGTACAGTCTACAAGTTTGGTAGAAATATCCTAACTTTTATTTTAATTTTACGGAATGTTTTAAAACCATTTAACTATTATTTTCTACATTTACTAACTTAATTACAGAAAATGTAGTACTATGACTACATTTTCTGTAATTAAGTTCTTGGTATTTATAAAATCTATGTCACTGTATTAACAGCTTTAGAATCTCTATGCTAATACACGCAGTAAAGTGCATTGCAAGGGAAAAGTAAACTAACCTCGGAGGGTCGGATTAGAAGGTTCTAAAAGGCTTCATGTTTTTATCAGGGTCGGTAAGTAATCCGTATTACCCTAACACTGCATGTTATGTTACTTACCTATCTAATGATGTGGAACTCGTGGATTAAAATCATCAAGAAAAAATTTAGTTACTTAGTATTGGCATCTTTTTGTCTTCGTCGAATAATTATCATCTCATTGTATCTTAGAACCCTGCAGATGTGAACTATTTTATTTTAAAATATTTTTAAACTGACTCGACCAGGAATCGAACCCTGGGCCCGCTTAAGACACTGCTCCACTACTCCATTGAGGCGTGATTTCTAGTTATTACGTCTAATAACTTTATGCCAGCGATTTAGCAGATACATAGATAAGCTACCATGTAGATGGCTACGTGCCTACTCTAGATATATTGCCCCTACTTTTTACCTCTAAGAGACATCGATGGATAAATAGGCGGCCGCAGGTACCTAATCGCATCAAGTTTTTTGCCCCCTGTATGGAATGCCATGCATGATGTCAGACAAGAACCGTGAAGCCAATATTACATCAGTTTCAATCCTAATGTCAATATCAGAAGATCCACTTTCGAACGTGGTCATAACGCCTCGCATCATTGCGATTATAAGTACTAGCAGTATTAGTCGCTTCGTGGATCGGGCTACATATTGAATATTGACAATGTAGTCATCTACCAGCAAATACCAACTCAAATTCCAGCGATTTCACAAAGCTGACGAGTTCACAGTACGAAATATGCGGCCACATCATTATGCTGGACGTATACAGCGAGCTAAACATCAATACGGCCACGAGACAGAAACCAGATGGCTTTTATCGCCAACTGATAAGCGACACATTCCTGCGGCACGCGGGAACGTTGCACGCACGCGGTTCGGTGTCACTTACAGACAATGGACATTCTATTTGAACCACGCCAGATCTTTCCACTTG